TTCTTCTTGCGCCGCAACTACCCCCTCCGCGTCCTACATTATTCCCTCCAGACGCCGAAGTCTTGTCAGCCAGCAGTTTATATCCTGAGCCAGCGGTGGTTGTCTCTAGGAGTCTGCAAGTCCTGACACTGTACCAGGAAGGACAGAGCTTACGCCTTTGAGGCGAGACTGTCCAGCCTTGACGACCACACCCAGTCCCAAACCCTTATCCCAAAATTCTGTTACCCCAAGCCCCTACTCATGCTATCAGAAGGCCTTCTGCCCAAAGACCATGGCTTTCCTCCGGAGCCAGAGTCGCCTGAAGCGGCCCGCAAAAGCCCCAAAGGGTTTGCTCTGAGGGCTTAAGAGGAACTGAAGTTTGTTCTGCAATATCCCGTGGGGGGGAACAGGTTGAGGGGTCAGGGATGAGGTTTCAGGTCTGGGGTTTTGAGATTCGAGGAGTTGCTTGGAGGTTCCAAATGGAAATGATTTTCCAGTGTCCAGTGGTTTGGATTTTAGCCGTGGGACTGTGGATGAAGATGCAAGGCCCAGTGCTCACGATCTGGTTCAGTTTCCACTAACATCTGCGACAATTTTCTGATCTGAAGCCTCTAGCCTTGAGCTCCAAGCCATTGCAAGACAGACAAAAGTTGTGAGCATTTCGCCAGAGAAGAGGCTGAAGCCCGAAAGCCTCGTGTTGACCGGGTGAGGGCTGGCACCTGATGCCAGCACCAAAGTTCATGCATTTTCTTCTACAATGGTTTGAATTGTCTTCAGCAGGGGGTAGGCACATCTGCTCAACCCTACTTGATATCTCAGTCTAATCTTTCACACCTGAACCCTCTCCTGCCGTACTGGTACGATCCAATCTGTTTTAAGACTCGCATCGGCATGCGTAAGTCCCACATCCGTTTGCAAGTATGCCCCGCAGTTCAGAGGCTCCAACCTTGGGCCTTGGCCTCCACTCTGTAACAAACAAATTCGCAAAATGGGGTTCCATGAAACTCCTGTGCTATGCATAAAGAAGAAGCGAGCTGTTTGTGTGTTTAGGGCCCTTTGGGTCGGACACCTCCCAGGCAGACTTGTGTGGCTGAACCTAAATCCTCAACATCCAAAAGCCCTAAAAACACAAATGCAAAATCTGAAGTCCTCTAAGCCCCAAACCTGAATCTCGAAACCCTGGAATCTGTAAGGCCCACGCGGGCGAAGACAAGGCAGGCAGCCGCAAGTGGCGTGTCATGACCTCGGCAGGGTGCAGCAAACGAAGGGTTGCCTTGGTAAGATTTCAGGGTTAGGGTGAACCTGCGAGCTCACGTGACTTCTGGTTACAGGGATTATGCATTTTTAGGGGAAGAGCTGTATGGGTTGAACTGGTTTGTAGGTTCGTTGTTGGACAGGTTTGGGTTTAACAGTGTATGAGAGATTCTGCTATTGATTGGAGGAGGTTGACAGGATGCAAGCTACTGTCCAGGAAGTGCTGTGTAGGTTGTAGGGTTCAGGGTCTAGGTGCTCAGGGTTTAGCTTCCCTTCTCCAACTCAAAAAGCTGCCAAAGCACTGACAGACCTGAAAGAATGCACTGGGCCCTGCCACATAACAACGAACTTCAAGCTCGAAGCCTCCAGCACTAAAACCAGGAATCCCAACCGCTGAGCTCTGAACCCGAGACTCCAAATCTGCAAGCCCTGTCCGGAGCCCGAGGCCCCAAACCTGGAATCCTGGCACAAAGCCTCCAGCCCGATTCTTCGGCACCCCAGGTTGCAGATCTGGCTCTCTTTCATGCTTTGTATGGTGGAACGGCCCGAGCCCTCAGCAGGGGGTATCTATATCAGCATTATGGGCCCTCTTTTTTGGGGGATGATTGGAATGGTTTCGGGGAAAAGTTGTCACATCCTTTAGGCCCTTGTTCTTGGGCTTGTCAGATGTGCAGGGGTTTGTATGCATTTCCTAGGGCAGTCTTGGCAAGGATGGATTGTGCGTTTTTCCAACTTGGTCAGACAGGGAAAGAAACTTTCCTGGGAATGGTTCTGACGCACACAGAAGCAAAGGAAGTAGGTTCCAGCAAGCCTTAATCTAAAGGCTCAAGCGGCCTAAACTGCGGACAATGACTTGGCTGCGGGCAACACACGACACCGGGCATCGGTGGCGAGGAACATGATTGGTAAAGTTACCTCCGAATGTCAAAGGAAAAGGCTTCGGGGGCAGCAGAACAAAAATCTCACAGGAGACGGCAGGAACCTGAAGAGTCAGGCACATTGTTTGTGATCCTTGTCGACTTCCAGTAAAGCGTGTCACGGAAAAAACAAAGTTTGCCTTCCCCCAAGACATGGAACCCCCAAAAGGGCCCTGCGAAGGCTAGTGGAACCCGTGGAGCCTCTGCCACAGAGACCATGATTTTGCATAGATTCCTCAAAATTACAGCTCTTGGTTTTTACGTCTCATGACAATGTGTGCGCAATGTACACACTGACCCATTTTGAGGCAGGTCTCGTGAAGGCATCATGTTGGGGGTTTAAGCACAAGATTCTAAAGTTGGATGTGACAATCCGGATCGTTTCCAGGTATCAGATCATTTGTTTAAATCTCTGTCTAGATCGAAGTGTTCCTTTAGGCGCCCTTAGATAATCCAGACAAGAAAAGGGCCATGGAACCAACTCGAAACCCCAAGCTTTGAGCCCTGTGCCTGAAGCTTCCCCAGGGCATGGAAAATCCCAAGTCCAGGCTCTTAGGAGTTTATGGATGGCTCAAAACGAGGCTTTTGGTACGTTGAATTAGGTCATCTCTGCAGCTGTCCTACCTTCAAACTTGGAGCCCTGAACTCCGAAAGGTGGCCAACATGGTTCCTGCCTTGACGGGTCTGCCCGCAATGGTTTTGGCTGCCAAAAATTCAGGATGTGGGATTTATTCAGGCTCTATGGTTTTAGATTTGATTTTAGATTCTGGGTCGGGATTCATTTTCCTATGTATTCCCCGAACTCACGCCTCTGGCTGGAGGGTTTCGGCCAGCAGCAAAGCTAAGGGCCTTGGCTAAGGGCCTTGGGGTCGTCTGGCGAGGACCTCCCATGAGCACTCCAAGTGGTTGGAGATGCTGCAGATCTTCAGAACACTTGTTTCAGACGTGCCTGCAGCCCGGCTAAACGACAATTTGAAGAAAATGATGGCTGTGTAGCAGATAGATTGTCTGACATAATTTTGGGCTTTGAGGATAGTTCGCTAGCTGGGCTGGAGACTTCTTGGGTATTCCAACCTCCGATACCCTGAAACTCCAAACCAACCTGCCCTTTCTAACTTTCAACCCTGGCTCCAAATCAATACCTTAGCTGCCAGGTTTTTCCTTCGATATGGCCAAGGACTCGGAAAGAAGAGCTCTGCCCTCAGCTATTTTTTTTGAGGGGCGTTTAGCATTTGGCATTTGAGGCTTTGGGCTCACAGTTTTGCAGCGCAGGGTTCATGGCTCAAGATCTAAAAGTGACGCGGCGGCAGCGCTAGCTAGCGTTAGCTTGGTGTTGTAGGTGCGGTAAGAACAGAGTCCGTGAGATTCACACAGCAGCTGCATTGCAACGACTCCAAACTGTCTTAGAAGAGCGCGCCACTTAGTCACCACTTGTCTGGGCATTTCGTGTTTGCCAGATGACTCCGGAAACATGGCATATTTCCTTTTTTTTGCACCCTTGGCGGACAACACAAGGCCTCTTTGCAACTTCTACTGCATGGCAAGAATAGGAAATCCTGATAAACCGCAGTCCGAGACTTTCTAAGCATGAACCTTACAGCTTGAGGCTTGCACACTGGCTACGAAGAAGGGATCTTTCCCAGAACCTGGAGATTTCCCAAGAATTTCCCATAAGAAACGTGAGCCACTCCTGGCCTTCGTCTGAACTGTGTTGCTTATGGTGCATGGCTTGTGGTGGCTCTGCAGTGCTGGTCTAAGCCAAAAAGTGGATGGGGTTCATTCAGCATGTGGATCATACAGACTAATTTCATGCTATGTGCGCGAGATTTTTCATATGACTTGAGTTAAAAGGTAGGTGTCGGGAGCTCCATGTGGGTCTACAGACCCTTGTGGCAAGCGTGCTAGCCAAATCCTGTATCCTACATCGCTAGGCCCTTAAACCCTGAAACCTAAACTCCAGACGCCCCAAAGCATGAGCTTTAAACCTTCCGCCTTCAACTTTTGCAGTGCGACCACCACCGCCCGGAAGCTAGCTATGACGACCTGGTGCAGAGACATGCGCACAATGCCGACTCCCAAAGGAGCCCAGATTTAGATTCGTGTTTATATGGTTTACGCGTTTGTGCTTTGTACAGTCTAGGGTCCAGCCAATTCATGTCAAAACTTACTTGGAAGCCAGTTGGTTGGAAGAGTTGTGTGCTACAATTACATGAGGGCCTTTTTGCTTTTCAGTCAACGCTGGTTACCAGCCAGATCTGCTTCCATACAGTATGGGATTAATCTTCATGGCCTAGATGCAGGCTGTCAACAAAGGTTGCTAGTTCCTTGCCTTGATGCAAAGCTGAATGACCCTCAGCTCTGTCATTCTCGTTCACTACCCCGGCAACGTGCGTTTGTTTTTTGGTGGAGCCGCGTAGCGGATTTCAAGCCAGGTTGGCTCTCACAGCTTCGCTCATGCTTATTCTGGCAAATGACATCCAAAAAGCTCGGTCGCAGTGTTACGGAGAGAGACCCGGCGTGTCGTAAACGATCCGTACTTACCAACCCTCTCAATTCCAAGCTGTCAGGTTGAGCAAGTTTGAGCTGTTTCTAAAAGCTAATGGGCCCGACAACGTCCCTACATAGCACGTTACCTGATGCTCTTGCAATCTAGCTATCGGTTTTTGTCCCAAAGCCCTTATCCATACTTGTAGGAGTCCTTATCCTGTGCTGCGTGATGCTGAAGTGCATGATGGGTTGGCAGTCGCAAGCCTGGGCAGCTTGGTCAAGTGTAAAAATGGGCAATTGCAGAAAGCAGCGATTCCCTACATGAATCGAATGTTTCAAGAGCGTCCAACTCTTAGATAGGTGATGCCGGGCTTTATGCGACGCGATTGGAACTGCAGAACAGCGCCTTGTCTAAACTTGGAGAGGAATCCATGGGCAGTCATGGCAAGAGGACCATGTAGGCATAACATACGTAAGTGCCCATATCACAGGCTACTTTCAGCCATCGTCAAGAACGCCTCATGGTAATGTCGCACATGGAGCTTGGACTGCAACTGCCAGGAATCTGCATTTGCTCGAGGCTTCCGCTGAGGTACTACAGAAGAAGTAAGAATCGAAACAGAAGGAGAGCGAACAAAGGAGGTAACTATGATATTAGGAAACTGCCATTGTGAGATTGGGCGCCAGTTTTGCTTGTTTTCTGGTTTTCTTGATGTATTCGAGAGTTCAAAGCCCAAGGTCTGAACTCTAAAAGTCGCAACCCACACCGCATGAGCCTTAAACCACAGCGCAAGGGACTACACGCTTCCTTATTCCAAGACATGTTCGTGGGGGTTCTAGCGGGGCTTTTCATGTATCCAAACAATCAACAGGTTTGACAATGCTGAATCTTTTCAACATGTCTAGCAGACCTTTTCTCCCAGTCCCCAACTTGGCCCCATTCCCCCAAGCCCTCAAACCAGCACCCTTAAGCCAGGGCTTTCACCATCGCAAAGCTCGCCCAGTCCTGTCAGCTACTGCGAGCCGAGCTATGCAGGAGCTGAATCACGGTTCTGTAGGATGTCAGAGGACACGAGCTCATACGGGGTTGAGTCTGGGTGCAAAAGTTTCAGGCTTCAACGACTCATAGCTGCGGGGTCAAGACTTAGATGCTTAGCATTTCAGGTTCTTAAAGGCGTACAGTTTAGTCCAAAGTCAGCCTCATGTAGGTAACCTGGTAACCTTGTCAACGTGTTGAAGCTCCAAACTTCCGGTGGGAGGACTTGCAGGAGCCAGTGGACACCGCCATGCCTGAAAAAATATTGAATTGCTTGGAGACCGGTGAGTGGATGGAGACTCTGGACATAGCCAAAGCAGTAGTGGGGCGTGATGGCACGAAGCGTGATGTCAACAACTGCTTGTATGGGTTGGGCAAGCAGGGTCACCTTGAAATGCGGCCTCTGCCAGGCAACAAGCATCGCAAGCAATGGAAACTGGCAGCGTCTGTACCTGTGGCGCAAGCATCTTCCGCGCAGCTGCGACCATCGTTTCAAGCTGCCCCTCCAGACAACATGATTAGCCGCGAAGGTAGCTTGCTTGTTCACCAGTCTGATTAGTACCTCTACTGTAAAGTTACGAAGATCCGATGTGACAAGGTGAATCCCGAACAACGACTGAACTCTCTTACCCGCAGCGCAATCTCTCGACCCAGGGCACTAGAACTTGAACTTTTAAGTTGTCAGGGTCTGAAGACTCACGCCCTTGAATCCTAAATCCTGAGCTCTCAAGCCCTGACGCCTTGTAAACTTCACCGCCCCTGAATGCTAACCCTGAACTCCCAAACCCTGAGGCATTGCGCAGGCCTTGGAAGATCCGCCTACCTTCGATAGCTTGGCAGGCCAGCAGCAACCACGCCGGCTCTCCTCAAGCAGAGAAGATGCAATTGCGAAGGCTCCAAGAAGTAGTGTCACAGAAATGCTAAATTTTGCTAAATACATACACGTACATGTAGACGTACCTGTTCTGGCGTCTGATGCATCACTTTGATGATTCGACATATTATGTATGTGATCTTGGTGTTCACATTGTAGATGCAGTTGCAACGAGGAGGTGGCATGGCTTAAGGACTAGGGACTGCGCATAGTTGCCGTCAGCTTTCGAGAGCGCACGCCTGAGCCCGATAAGAGCCTGACAGCTTGAGAGGATATCTATTCTTTTTTGATTGTTCAGCACCCATCCTGATCACATGCAGCGGATCCGTTAAACTTTTGTGAAGAGTAGGTTTACTAAGGGGGATACCATTCGCTTGTTGGTGTTGTGACCGTTCAGCGAAATATCGTGTGAAGTAGCATCTGGAGTTAGTTCATTATTCATTCAGTATCAGTATCTGTGTGATCTGTAGTGCAAGTACAAATTCTGGTGGGTAATTGGCTGCTGCTACTCCTGCGACGACAGTTGCAATAACAACAGTTCTTGAAATTTTGAGAGTTTAGTTTTGGCAGTACTACAGTCCAGGTGAAAGATGACATCAGGGAGTTGGCCGATCGTCGGTTTGCAAATCGAGCAGGGGTCGCCGCACTTGAATTGATTGGTTCTACATCGTATGGTGTTGATATCAAAGGAAGTGACGTCGACTATGCCCTCAAGATGGCGGCATTTCCGATTTACGATGTTGCGTGGGAGCGATTCACGGAGGATTTGCAGAGACGCTTGGGCGAACAGTACGTTGTCGAAGTCAGAAACAAAAGCGTCGCCATTCTTGTTGAGGACACAGAGCTGGAGATCGTGCCTTTCAACGGGCCATTCGATCAAGAGAGCGTGCCATTTGAGAATTTGTTCGGGACTCCAAATGATGGTTCTCTGACACGTGCTGGAGCAGATGCACAGCTAAAAGAGCTATTCGAAAAGTACCCGGGAGCCAGGAACACGGTTCGCGTTGCGAAGGCATTTTTTTGTCCTTTGGCCAAGAAGCTTGACGAACATGTGCCCTGGGGCTACTTGTTGACTGCGATGGTTTACAGGTATGCAAAGCAGGCAGTGGCAAAAGATAAAAATCACTTCGAGCAAGACTTTTCCGGCGTGGACCTGTTCGGGGCGCTTCTTGGAGATGTGGGCAGCTGGCCTGTGAAAACAAGAGGAGGCTCCTTGAACTTGGCCAAGAGGTGGGCCCTGAACCGCGGCTGGAATCTAGACCCAGTTTTTCAGGCATGGAGTGATGAGGCGAACCGGATCACGGATATTCACCGACACATGCAGGCGGAAAAGCGCCCAATAAGAAATCAATAAGAAATCCTCAAACCTAAACCTTTGAAGCCCTCAACCCTTAATCTCAGCCTCAAGGCCGGCTGGAGGTGCGAGACCGTCTTGGAAGGAATTTCCGAGGACCCTGAATAACAGATTTTGCACTTCGGGTTTAGGATTGAAGGATTTAGGATTGAAGAGCTTAGGATTCGGAATGACGGGTGGGGACTTTGTTTTTGAGAGTGGCCTGTAACTCTTAGCTTAGATTCCTGGGCTCATTTAGCATCTCCGAGGGTACTCCCGTATAGAACTCATAGACCTTTGCAGATGCTCTTGGAGTCATCATCTATCTTGGAGTTTAAGCTTATTGGCTTGCTCTCGCGGTTTACAACTTCAAGAATTGGTAAGTAAGGACGTACTTGCTGCGCCTTAGCTGTGTGCTTTTCGGGGTAGCATTACCCACCCCCAACACACACCGAGCCCCTCTTCCCCGGGTTGGGGTTCCATAATCGTTTGGGGCCGGGATATCTTTTTTACTGGGAAGACCTAACCACAATGCATAGCTCTTAACCCGGAGACTTGGCAGGACCGCGCATGGAATTGCCTAGTGCATCTCAGGGTGAGTTATGCACCTTCGCAGGAGGTGTTGTTTTTGAAGCATTGTATTTGGAGTGAAGCGTACGCTGTGGAGTTTGGTTGGCTTTTGAAGGGTCAAAATGAATGCTCTGCCCAGCTTCAAAGCCTACGAGTTGAGAACCTCGTTGTTCATCTGGGAAAGCGTTGTTGACCTCTGTGGGAAAGTAGATTCCGTCTGTACACTGGGGTCAAATTCGCCCCAAAATCGAACCCTGAGCACTTAACCCATGCTTGCCAGATCTTACGGGCGCCACTCTGCAGGACAGACTGTTGTGGAACATTGCGAAGCAGCATGGTGCCTCCCCTGTCAAGTTGAGGGTGTGAAGTGTGTAGTCTTTATCTATGACTCCCCTTGTCCCCGTGCAAGAAGAATACCCTGAACCGTCGTTCACCACTTCATCGCGAGGGAATGGTGCGTTAGGGAGGGACTCTTGGGTTTTTGGAAGGAAGTTCTGTAACCCATGTCTGTTAATTAAGGGACAGCCAGGTCCTCGAGGCCCTGCAGCTATGGAGCATGGACTGTGAGACGTCCTGACATTTCTGGGGTAGATGTTCAGGAACAAAGGTAGCGATTGGCCAGACTCCCATACTGCATAGTGAACTTTCGCGCGTTTAGAGCTAAGAGTGTGTAAGATTGCCCAAACCATGTTTCAGCGCTCAACCCCAAAGCCGGGTCTTTTGCTTGAATCACCACACGTACACCCGTAATCTAGACTTATAGCCCAACCCCATGGAGCTTCAACCCAGAACACCAAAATCAGCACCAAAGCCACGAACCCAATGTTGCACCTTTTCTAGGTATCTTGTTATGGGGCCGATCCTGTGCGAAGCCTTGGGGTTCTGACGTTGATGTTTCAGGGTTGAGGGCTGAGATATTCGACCCCCAGGTTAGAACATCCGGAAGACCTCTGATGCAAAATGAAAAGCCTGATGTTGCCGCAATGTTTGATCCCCCGCCTACACCTTAAGCCATCGCCCAAGGCTACACGACGCTTTTCGGGGCCACTGGATGCAATGGCTTTCTCCTCAGTTTCTGCAACAGCTACCTTGCCCCAAACTAATTCATGTGGAGCCCCGTCTTTCCAAGGCATTGTTGTGTTTTTTTGGGTGCCTGTTGTGAGGTTACATCATTATGTGGGCGAGGGGTTGCACCTCTTTTCTGCGTTGTTCCCCCGAGTGATTCACGCCGGTTCGTTTCCCCGGTCATGCTAGGATCTTGTCAGACGCCAGAGAATCGTTTGCCCAGCGAACCTGGATGTTTCGCCAGACAGTAACACTGATTTCTGCGGCCCATGCCGTTTACATCCAGTCTAGGTGCCTTTTGTTCGTGCGTTTCTTTGGTGTCCTGGTCGAAGCCCATTGAGATCGCAAAATAATCAATCTAGGTCCTGCTCCAGGCTCAGGGTCTTCAGTGCCCCTTTTCAGATACACCGCCGCGCGTGGCTTCGGCATGTGGCCCATGTGGGTTTTTATTCGCGGGCAGCAGGACGTCCAAATCGTCAGTCGTCAGCAGATTTTCAAAAATCTCGAATTTTGCTTCAACATTTTTCCGAGATTTTGCCGAAATTCGACATTTTGCTTAGTTCATTTTGCCCGGGCCGCCGTTCCCCCGACTCTCCCCGACTCTTCCCCGGCTCTTGTTGTCTCGACTCTTGTTGTCTTGTTTCTCTTTTCCACTTCTATTCGAGCCAGGCCGCACGACTCTTCCCCGCTTTTCCATCCTGACCCTGTATTTTGCATGTTTTGACCAACTTGCGTGCTTTTCGCGCCGTTGGCGCAATAAGCTGACGTTTCCGTTTTGTCAATCATGATGCCGTCTGACTTTGGATTTACGAGATGGCGGGGGCGAGGCTGACAGGTTATGCAACCAGAGGGCGGTAAGTGCCTGCGTCTTGCGCGATTCAGGTTGAGCGACTCCGGTTCAGAATTCAGGGTTGGCTCCAGGCAGGTGTGTATGTGTCCTTTTTCGGCAATGATATCTACAGGGAGGTGCCCCTGCCCCGTGTCTAGCGAGCTGTTGGAGTCACCTGCTTCTTTCTTTCATGGGCGGCCGAACCTGCCGGCCACGGCGAAAATTACCAGCAGCCTCCCCCTGGCATATCAAGGCTAAACGTGCTGAAGCGTGGCGTCTCGAACAGGATTTTTTTTAGTCCATGATGTACGATCCGACTGCACATCCAAGACATGGAACGTGCTCAAAGCCCGTGTTTGTTGCACGTCGAGACGTGGACCATACGCATGTTTAACTCGAAAAAAAATCAAAGAAGGGGTCAGGGTGGCTTTGGCTTGGGGTTTAGTTTGTCAGGGCTAAGGGTTTAGGGTTTAGGAATTTTGTTGTAGGGCTTACGGTTTCGGGGGTTCGAGGGCTTTGAGTCGAGGGGTTTTCAGGTTTCAAGGTTTAGGGTCTAGGGTATAGGGAGACCCCAGGACCACACGAATGAAAGATCATTTCAGTCCTCAGTCTTGGGGGGCCTGGTTTCTTTGGGAGTTCGAGCTTTTTCTTTTTGGGGGGATGTGGTACTGTAGGCATTATCCATCTTGGGCAATGTGGGCTATGAAATAGCGCAGGACAAATGGGTAGCAAGGCATAGTCAATGACTTCGTGCTGACAGTAAATTGGGTTTAGGGTTTAGGGGTTTAGGTTCAATAGCCCCCGCGCGTGTATCAGTGTATCACTTCAAACCAACTTCCATCGCTATGATGATGGTTAGCCGCCTGGCAGTCGCAGCCATACTCAGAATCACAAGGGGAACGGCAACAAAGGATCCTAAACACGACTTTTGAGCGCCAAATCCTAAACAACCATTTGTCTCAACCCCCTAAGTCTCTGTGTGGGAGATGCCGGGAAGGTGCGAGATCTTTGTCTTTCAAACAGAGCCATAGATCCGTGAACAAAATCCTGAACCTTCGGCAGAAGGTCCAATTCCCATCTCATCCAAGTTCATACCTGTGCGCGGCTATGCTTTCCTGCCCCTGGAGAGGTTTCATGAATTGTCATGCCCAATGTGCCTCTGTTGAGTTTTTTTATACGTCCCCAGAGCTTCGATCTCAAACCCTAAAATTTTTCCTACTCTGAAACCAAAACTCTGACCATCAACCTCCAAGCGCTTGCAACGTCTGTAGGCTTTCTTGGTACGCGTTATTGCCGCAAGTGGCTGGGTCAGTTCGACCGCGGGGCCCTGAGAATGTTTGCAGAGACCCTTTGCAAATCAGGATGCAGAGTGCAGGTGACTATGATCCTTGTTCTCGTTCAGCAGGAAGCGTAGCCGCTATAAACAAGCGTGTATGTGACAACTATTGCAAGTATCAGCTCCTCCTTCCGCTAGTCCCTCCTATCCCTGTTGTTGCCGCTGTTCTGGCTTAATTCTAAGGGCAAAACGGCAAAACTTGCAGTGTTCTCATCAGCATGCGTGAGATTGCTGTAGCGAGAATCGGGGCCGGGCTTTTGGGAAGGGATTCATACTTGAGTCTGGACACAAAAGCTCCAGAACTGCTTATAAGCCCCGACTTAACACAAGCTCCAAGCTTGAAGTGCTGCATCCCACATCCCCTGAACACGACATGATCTAAACCCACAAGCCTCAACTTTGAGATCCGGAAGCCTCGAGGCGTGGTGCCTAGCCTCGAGATCGACCCAAACTGCCACTCCCAACATGATGCTTGTTGGCAGAGAGCGAATTTGGGGGTTTCTTTGAGGTAAGGGGTTCAGGGGTTCATGAGCTCATGGAATGAAAGTTTAGGGTGGAGCTTACGAACGCGTTGATCATTCCGACGGCTGCAATCTTAAGAATTCTTATCTAGTTAGGGCTTGGGGGCTGGGCAGAAAGGGATTTTGTCCGTGTTTCTGCTGCCAGGATTACCTGATCAGGGTCCAAGGTGAATTCCCTGGAAAGGCCGGTGTCTGCTTTCGCGGGGGTTTCGGATTGACTGGCACATAAGAAGGTGCACCGAAATGCTGTTCTGGTATCATGGCATCTGAGCCTTAAACCCGAGCCTCTCCAAGCAATTCGGATGACGCCTTCCGACTCCCTTCACGATGCCCTCTTCCCCATGACCGCTAAACAACACCCGCATATCCCAAATATGTTTCAAGGACCGGAATTTTTCGAACATTAGACATGAGTTTGTAACTGCGACCAAAGGAGTGGCGAGCTCTGACGCAAGACAGGCCACTTCAGCGTGTGTCTGCTTGCGGGCAGGGAGACAAATAGGTCCAGCAAGAGGCTACCCACATTAATTACTTGATGTTGGACAGAATCCGTGCGGCTTGGACCGCCTGGGGAGCCATAATCTGCACAGCCCGAGGAAAATTAGGCCAGGGAAATGTGATGGGGATATGCCTCTAAGTTGGGCTCCTGGTGTTTGTGCAACGAGCTTCT